AAAATTATAGCATGTAGAGCGAAACTGAGTGCTTTTCAATTATTATTTTTGCCACCATTATTTTTTTTTTGTGTTGCGTTTGTGTGAGCATGTGTCCATGCTGTGTGTTACAGGTAATCGTTAGAGAAGCCTTAAATGCCCGATTGACGCAAAAGCAGACCAACTTGACTAGAGTAAGTACGCAATTTTTTTTTTTTTTTTTCATTTAAATTTATGGTTACTTTTCAATGATTGTCCGAAGGGATTGAGGGAAGGAAATGTTGCACTGAGTTTTGATGTATTTGTAAAGCCTCAAAACTGAAAGGAATTAGGGTGAGAAGTTTGGAAAATGATATCTAAAACTTTTTTGAATATTTCTAATGATTTGAAAATCCAATGAAATTTGAGAACAATAACGTACTATACAGGTTGTTATCATACACTATTAAAAAAAGCTTTAAATTCTTTATAAATCTGTATTAAATTGAGTTTGATAGTTCAAATACTTTTTGAGCAACTGAGCCTCAAAGTTGAATTTTAGTCGATATTTAGTACAAAACTTGATATTCAAACTATGAACTTGAAAATATTTTCCAATGCAGGTTTTTTAGAGGTTGATAGGAGTTACAATTCCTGAATATTTTGATTATCTCTCACGGATTTTAAGATATTGAAGCTCAAAAATTTAGAAATAAGAATCCGAAGGGGGTAGTCTATGGAAAAAATAGAAATTTTTATTTTTCCTACAGTCGTGCAGAAAAATCGATTTTCCGCACTGATATGCGTGCAGATAATGAGTTTTCCTACGATTGCCTAGAAAGCTATTAAAAACGCACTACTAACTCACCTAGAAAATCGATTATTTCACACAGCGTGCGAAAAGTACTTTTCACACGCTCCCGAGCGTGCGAAAAGTAAAATAAAAATGACACTTCCATTGAATTTTTGTTCTACAAGCAACTCTGAGTGCATTCAGCGTACGTACCAAAATTGTCCGTTGATTATAATTTCAAATAATAATTTTTCAACAAAAAAATAAATAAATAAATCCCAATGTGAATATAGTTATAGTTATTTCGCAGTCGTAGAAAAAGTATAGTGTATAACGCGTGTGAAACGCACTTTTCACACTCGTGGGGTTTGTGCTACTCGCCTGCGGCTCGTGCCACCAAACTTCCCCACGCGTGTGAAAAGTGCTATTTTCAACACTTGTTGCACAATATACTATTTACCGCACTGATATGTCAAAAAAAAAAAATTACATTTTTACGCCTGTAGGAAAAATATTGTACCTAACACTTGCGGAAAATATTTTTCCGCACTCAGTTGCTTCACCGAACTCCGATACGCGTCGTTCGGTGAACGGCAGCCGCGTGCGGAAAAATTAATTTTCCGCACTTGTTAGGTAAATAGCTATTTCACATTTTCCAAATTTTGACGATAGACTCATCGGTATCAAACCGCTTTCTATTGTCAAGCAAATAATAATAAATTGAGTTTGATAGCTTGGAATATTTTCTGAGCAATTGAGCCGCGAAGTTGAACATTTTCAATTAAGTATTGAAAAATTCCCAAACTGTTGAAGTGAGAAGCAAGGGCGGTTTAAAGGGGGGGGGGGGGTAGAGGGGGTAATTACCCTTCCCAGACAAAGATTTTTTTGATACATCTATTATTTACAAGAAAATTTCAATAAAAGACAAGTTCTACAAAATAAAGCATTTTTAAAGGCATTGTATAAATTAATAGGCTCACCAATACCAAAGTTTGCCAGTACCGACATACCTACTCGTAACTATCGTAACTCCATTAATAATAACTCAGTCGCTTTGAATTTTTAGCATTTTTTACATTGAATCATTAGGAAAAAGTTCTCAAAATTTCAACTTTCCACTTACTTTAGTTTTTGAGTGAAAAAATTGTTTGTAAAGTCCTTATTTTACAAAACATCATTATTTTAAAAAAATCGTAACTCCATTAATAATAACTCAATCGCTTTGAGTTTTTAGTATTTTTTACATTGAATCATTAGAAAAAAGTTCTCAAAATTTCAACTTTCCACTTACTTTAGTTTTTGAGTGAAAAAATTGTTTGTAAAGTCCTTATTTTACAAAACATCATTATTTTAAAAAAATTGTAACTCCATTAATAATAACTCAATCGCTCTGAATTTTTAGTATTTTTTACATTGAATCATTAGGAAAAACTTCTCAAAATTTCAACTTTCCGCTCACTTTAGTTTTTGAGTGAAAAAATTGTTTGTAAAGTCCTTATTCTACAAAACATCATTATTTTAAAAAAATCGTAACTCCATTAATAATAACTCAATCGCTTTGAGTTTTTAGTATTTTTTACATTGAATCATTAGGAAAAAGTCCTCAAAATTTCAACTTTCTACTCACTTTAGTTTATGAGTGAAAAAATTGTTTGTAAAGTCTTATTTTACAAAACATCATTATTTTCAAAAAATCGTAACTTCATTAATAATAACTCAATCGCTTTGAGTTTTTAGTATTTTTTACATTGAATCATTAGGAAAATGTTCTCAAAATTTCAACTTTCCACTCACTTTAGTTTTTGAGTAATAAAATTGTTTATAGAGTCTTACTTTACAAAACATCATTATTTTCAAAAAATTGTAACTCCATTAATAATAACTCAATCGCTCTGAATTTTTAGTATTTTTTACATTGAATCATTAGGAAAAAGTTCTCAAAATTTCAACTTTCCGTTCACTTTAGTTTTTGAGTGAAAAAATTGTTTGTAAAGTCCTTATTTTACAAAACATCATTATTTTAAAAAAATTGTAACTCCATTAATAATAACTCAATCGCATTGAGTTTTTAGTATTTTTTACATTGAATCATTAGAAAACAGTCCTCAAAATTTCAACTTTCCACTAATTTTAGTTTTTCAGTGAAAAAATTGTTTGTAAAGTCTTACTTTACAAAACATCATTATTTTCAAAAAATCGTAACTCCATTAATAATAACTCAATCGCTTTGAATTTTTAGTATTTTTTACATTGAATCATTAGAAAAAAGTCCCCAAAATTTCAACTTTCCACTTGTTTTAGTTTTTGAGTGAAAAAATTGTTTGTAAAGTCTTACTTTACAAAACATCATTATTTTCAAAAAAATCAAAACTCCATTATTAATAACTCAATCGCTTTGAGTTTTTAGTATTTTTACATTGAATCATAAGGAAAAAGTCCTCAAAATTTCAACTTTCTACTCACTTTAGTTTTTGAGTGAAAAAATTGTTTGTGAAATCTTACTTTACAAAACATCAATATTTTCAAAAAATCGTAACTCCATTAATAATAACTCAATCGCTTTGAATTTTTAGTATTTTTTACATTGAATCATTAGAAAACAGTCCTCAAAATTTCAACTTTCCACTAATTTTAGTTTTTGAGTGAAAAAATTGTTTGTAAAGTCTTACTTTACAAAACATCATTATTTTCAAAAAAATCAAAACTCCATTATTAATAACTCAATCGCTTTGAGTTTTTAGTATTTTTACATTGAATCATAAGGAAAAAGTCCTCAAAATTTCAACTTTCTACTCACTTTAGTTTTTGAGTGAAAAAATTGTTTGTGAAATCTTACTTTACAAAACATCAATATTTTCAAAAAATCGTAACTCCATTAATAATAACTCAATCGCTTTGAATTTTTAGTATTTTTTACATTGAATCATTAGAAAACAGTCCTCAAAATTTCAACTTTCCACTAATTTTAGTTTTTGAGTGAAAAAATTGTTTGTAAAGTCTTACTTTACAAAACATTATTTTCAAAAAATCGTAACTCCATTAATAATAACTCAATCGCTTTGAATTTTTAGTATTTTTTACATTGAATCATTAGGAAAAAGTCCTCAAAATTTCAACTTTAGTTTTTCAGTGAAAAAATTGTTTGTAAAGTCTTACTTTACAAAACATCAATATTTTCAAAAAATCGTAACTCCATTAATAATAACTCAATCGCTTTGAATTTTTAGTATTTTTTACATTGAATCATTAGAAAACAGTCCTCAAAATTTCAACTTTCCACTAATTTTAGTTTTTGAGTGAAAAAATTGTTTGTAAAGTCTTACTTTACAAAACATCAATATTTTCAAAAAATCGTAACTCCATTAATAATAACTCAATCGCTTTGAATTTTTAGTATTTTTTACATTGAATCATTAGAAAACAGTCCTCAAAATTTCAACTTTCCACTAATTTTAGTTTTTGAGTGAAAAAATTGTTTGTAAAGTCATACTTTACAAAACATCATTATTTTCAAAAAATCGGAACTCCATTAATAATAACTCAATCGCTTTGAGTTTTTGGTATTTTTTACATATGATTTTTCCGTCATCCATTACCCCCTCCAGATAATCATGTATGGACCGCCACTGGTGAGAAGATTTTCAAAAGAAATCAATACACCGTGTACCTATCTAAGTTAAAATTTTCATGATTCATAGGGCGCGTTTGTAAACTTTTAAAAAATTCCTTTGAACTTTCCCAGAAAAAAAATCAGTATACACAGGGTGTTTTCTGAAGACAAAAACTATTCACTGATATTAGGTGAATGTAAATAAATGATTACAAATCTAAAATAATTATGCGGGAAGTGATATTTGACCGCACACTATGCAGTCTACTTTATTGCACATTATGTGGTAATTGCTTCTTTCTTCATGCAAATTAGTGCGGTAAAGTGCATTTTTCGCACGCTTGTAGGTAAAAAATCTAACTTTAATCAGTAACTTTTAATACATTTTTCAATTTTGTCTCGTTCTTTATAATTCATTTCTGTCCTGAAGAAGCTTAACAAATGAACCGAAACGTCGATTTAGTAAAACATTTTATTTAAAATCAATATTTAACATTTATTATTATTTTAAATTTCCCTCCATTGAAAATCACTTCGCTATCCTTGTTGAATACAAATGAAACAGACAAGGACGGCAATATGTTCTCATATTTGAAATGACGTCATCGATCCGTTCCCATTTGCCCGAATAGCGTTTTCGTTTGGAGTGGCTTTTCGAAATTTTCGATCGAACGGCCGCCATGTTGGCTGTCATTACCCCTTCCACCTGTCAAAATATTTCCATGGCTCATTAAAAAAGGAGATAATATTTTTTCTGGCGAGATTTTTCCATTTATTTTCGGAAAATCGTCGAATTTTCCGCGGTTTTCGTAAAATGTGAAGTGTCCCTTTGTTGCTGCACACGATTTTATAATGGATAATACCATGGATAGCACGTCTTTTCACATCCCGGTGAGTGAAGAACCTTTTCTCTGTTTGTTGCCCCTGAAATTGGGCGAAACTTGAGCTTTCTAAATTTAATTTTGTTTGGATAATATTTCCTGTTAATGGCTATTTTTATTAATTTCCTTTTTAGAAACATTAAGCATTATTTGTACAAGAAATTATCAATTTCCTATAACAAGAACATTAAATTTTTATAAATGCGCAATCTAAAAGGCGTTGGCCTTATAAATACCTAAAAACCATTTACAAAATTATATTTTTATCTTTATAAATGCGTCATTTAAATTTAGCTGTTTGAAGAAAGGCCTTGGAAACAAAATTGACCTGAAACGATTTAATAATTTCACAAAGAGAACTATAACTGTAGTTTACTACTTTCTATAAAACAGGTTTTCACCTTGCCGATAAATAAATTAATATTCTCCAAAAGAAATTATTGGTAAATAAAATGGGGTTACAATATAAAAACCGAACCCTTTCAGGAGGCCTCACCCACCCTATCAAAGTTGGCGGACATCGATATAGTGATGGAAGATTCCATGGACGGTGGGCCTCCTTCAGTGGGGTCTGGGGAAATTCCCGCCGCTGTTAACAGTATCCTTTTGACCCCCGGGAATCTCAACAATACTCCCGCCACTCCTGCGCCCACCACCACATCTAAAAAGGTAAGAATCGTCTCTCGTTGCTGTGAGACGATTTTTTTCTTTCAGCATTTTGTTTAGTTAGGCATGGTCATTTTTTTGTGAATGTTTTCAGTATTCCATGAGTGTCAAAAAATAGGTCTTAAATAACATCTTTTTGTTTGTTATATAACACTGGTGTTTGTAATATTAAGTACCAATGTACATATATTTGTTTTTTTTTTAATTGATTAAAAACAACTACTTACTAATAATTTTTTTTTTTTTTTTTTTGTATCTACAATCACTTTTTTTTTGCATTAGAAAAACAAAAACAAAGTGGTCACGGGTTACATATTGTACTCGCGCGAAGTGCGCAAACAAGTGGTGCAAAATAATCCGGAATCCAAGTTTGGAGACATTTCGCGCATAGTAGGCTCGGAATGGAAGTCTTTGGCCACCAATGAAAAGCAAATGTGGGAAGAAAGAGCCTCTAAGCTCAACGAAGAGACCAAAGCACAACTTTTGGCCGAACAAGAACAATGTCCCAGTCCTGCTCCAGTAGTTCTAGGACCACCAGAAAATAATGTAAGAATTGCTAGTTGAGAGGGTTGAGTTTGAGTTGAAAATTTTGGAAAAATTTGCAGGTTTTTGAGTGCAAATGGGAAGATTGCGATTTCCAATTTGAGGAATTGAGTGACTGCGTTGAGCACTCTGTTAAGGATTCCAAGGATTCGCAGGGACATGTGCAAAAGTATTATCAGGTAATTGAAATTAATTAATTCCAAAAAAAAACACACAGTCTTTCTATAAAATATTTTAATCCTAGGACTTAGTCACAACATATTTTAGTGTACAAAGGCAAAAGATATCCACATATTTCCCTTACATATCGATGGGTAGCCTGCAATATCTCTTAACCAACATGCGCTTAACTTTTCAGGAGGAAGGAATGTTCATGCAACTTTGTTATTTTATATATTCATTCAAAAATTACAAAAGAAAAAACTGTTAAATGCCATACAAGTTCAAATCAAAATTGGCACCGCTCGCGCAGACTCGGCGTATGTGAAAAATATGTGATTTATGAGAAGGAAGTAGGAAGCAGTACGAAGCCGTGTCTCTAAAACCACGTACTCTTTTTCGGTCGTTATCAAAAATCAAAAAACCTATCGAATTCAAGGCAAAAATTCCTTATTATTAAATAAATAAATAAATAATAATAACAATTGAATTTAGCGCTACAGTCCCGCTGCTCTTTAAACTTTCAAAAACCTAACGCAAATTTTCGTGAACAAGGAAAAACCTCTCATATTTTTGTCATTCATGAGTTCTACATAATTTCCTGACCTCTGCGGTGAAAAAAAACATTTTTTTCGAAAAAATAATTTGTTGGAGGCAATAATTTTGTTTTTCTCGTTATATGTTAGTTAGGAGCTATTGCTAGAAGATTTTAATGCAGTTAGGATAAAATGATGCCAGGATCAATAATGACACGACTGTGCAAATTAACGAAATTTTTATTATCTGTTAATCAAAAACATACCAAAAATAGTTATGAAACATGGCATGATACTGAATTAGGGTTCAATGAGGCAGGTTATCATAAAAATGATGGACATGGACTGTTTTAAGTTCTTGAAGGTGTTTCCACTTATTATCCGGTATCTTGCATCGCTGATTAAGCATCCGTGGATATTTCTCTATTATGGGGATTTCTTTTGGTCTAGCAGGTAACTCTTGCCATTCAGTATCATAATTGATTTTGACTTCAATTTTGCCATTTTCGTACTTGAGGGCTTTTATATCCGTCACAGTAGGGTCGTCTTTCAGTCTTCCAGGGCGTATGGAAGAGTATCTAAGATGTTCGTTGGAAGCAAAATTTAAGAAAAATGAAAAATCCAAATCGATAGCTTCATAGGGCCTGGGATTCTGCCGTGCTTCCCTAGTGACTGATAAGTAGTCACTTGGCAAATGAATTTCACGATTTTTCAGTTTTCGTTCAATATTAGCGTGTACTGAATCGCATTCCATGTACGTATGCCCTGGCTCAAGATATTTTTGATAGATTGTCACGTTATGTTTCATTGAAAAATTTAAAATTGCATTAGACATGATATGATACGTGCAACCAACAGAATAGATGACGATGGGGAGATTATCTGCAAGACATTTTTTTTCTAAGTAATCCAGCAGACACGATACAAAAGTGGAAACTTTTAACTGGCTATTTTGGTCTTCTGAGAACCAATAGCAAGTTGCATCATGTGTTTTTAAATCATAAACGGTGAAATTATGCACGCATAATTTTGTTTTGTAATAAAAAGCCCCCGCTTTCAGGTATGGTGCTAACTTCACAGCTTGTAAATCCACACGTAAGGTGATACACTCACCATTCAATGATTTACTTTTGTCGTCTTACTTTTCCTGACGTGCTCGATCCTTTCTGTTTCTATGTTCATTATAGCTTTCCTCAGAAATATTTCCTGTCTTATGTGCGCAACAAATATTGCATTGGTCTTTCTTGAGTTGATAAATGGATAAATTTTTCTCCTTGAATCTTCTATACAAATACTTTTTGGTAAGAGGGTTTAAATTTTTGTTTGAGCAGTATTCAAGAACCTATCGATAGTTTCAATATTAGAATGTTTGCGATCTAACAATGCTTGCTTAATGGTTATCTTTCTTTCCCGATCCTGGTGCATGCCATTGCTGCTATTGTTCACCCATTCTTGGACAGTCTTGTATCCCAAATCAAACGTATTCAAGAACATCGTTCTGCATGTCTGAATTTTGGTATTGTTTACATTTAAATAATAAACAAACGTCCCTTGTCGCCTTGGATTATCGGAGGTCTTTCTTTTGACAGGCACTTTTTCAACATGTGCGGATATGTAAACTTTTCTCTGATCCCATGACATCTCTTTCCAAAAATACTCAAACAATTTCTTTCTTTGACTCTCTGTAACATTTGAACAGTTTCTCAGCTTAGACTTTTTACACAAGTCTGAATTGCAGGCTGGTTTTAAATGTCGTGCAGTTCGCATAGTGTCATTTTTTGATTTTTGGAAAAACCTAAATAATTTTCTCCACGCATTCTTTTTTTCCTATTTTTTTCACGAATCCAAGATTCTTTATCCGCTACCCTTTTTCTCTTTCTGGAATTTCCCAAGTTGTCCAAATTGGGGTCAATATTTTCGTTTCCTTGAGGTTCAGGGTTTTCATCACTGCTAGAGTCTTCACTGCTTGATTCATTGTTGCTATCTGATGGATTGTACTCATTGGAACTGTCACTATTGTTGTGCAACTCATGAATCTCTTCCACTGGTGCAAGGTCGAACATTTCTCTATTGAACCACTCATCATCACTGATGGGGATACCTAAGTCAAACTCGACTGGTATACCTGTGACTTCTGTTTGGGCACTTATTGACGATTGAGGAATGTTCTCATCTAAAAAAAAAAAAATAAGTTACCAGCTACTAGATAATACATTTATAAGCCCACCAGGATATATGACCACGATAATATTATTACTAATATTATTGTTTTCCAAAATGTTGAGGTTCTCATCAGGAATGTCGTCGTCGTCTAAAAAAAATAGGTCACGACCTACTACTAGAGAACATTAGAATTATAGATAACTTACTAATATTATTGGTGTCCGAAATGTTAACTCCAACAAAATCCATTGGCATATCTTCTAAATATTTCTCTTGAGCCATTTTCAAGATTTTCATAGTACGATTCATTGTGTAGACTCTAAAAAAGTAAATAGCAAATACTACTAACTGCATTAAACTCTAGCGGCGCTAAATAAATTTGGCCAATTTCAAAATCTCCTATCTGCTACGAATAATAATAACGCGTTTATTGCCAATTTACCCGTCAAAACATTAAAAAAAAAAATTCGGTGTCTAACAATAATGGTTGATTGTCAATATGAAACTAATATTTTAGATGAAAAAAACGAACTTAGGTTTAAATTAGGTACTTACCTGGTGTACACAACCTCAACTTACAAACACATGTAGTCAACTGGAGTTAGGAGAAATTGAGCGCAAAAAACCGACCAATATAATAGGAGTTATTGCTCCAGGCTAAAATTCAAGGTTAATATTTTTTTGTTGGATAGGAGAATTTTGCAGTACGTGCGCGGTGGCGACATCGATTCAGAACCGTCAAAATCTCAATTTGGGTTAGTTAGGAGATATTGCTGGCTATCCGTCGATATTCCAGATCACTTGGAATTCCCCTGAGATTTTTCCAGATTTCCTTAAATCTCCCAAGATTTTGCTTGCTAGGTGTCCCTAACTTTTACAAGGATTTTATCATAACGGATTAGCACAACCAGAACACAATTCCTGGGGTCTTCTGCTTAAAACAACAATATGCATTTTCTCTTGATCTATTACTTTCCTGGCAATATCAAAGCTACATTTATTACAATATGAGGGATAATTTTTTTATTTCAGTGAAAATCCTGGTATAGTCTTTACAAAGTCAGTTGAAACAAGGTAAAGATAAATCACAATTGGTGAGTGGTGACTGAATATATTCATAAGAAATGCAGTGCCACTAGTCAACCACCAGCAAATTAATTTTACTCTTGTTTCAATTGACTTTAGAAATACTATAACATGATATCCTCGCAAATATTCTCAATTAATAGAATATTAAATTTTGAACTTCTACATGGTCTCACTAAGTTAGATTTCTCTCAGATTTCCCCAGATATCTCTCACATCTCACATAGATCTCAGATTTCTCCAAATCTCCCCAGATTTTCTTGAATCTCCCCCAGGGCTGGCATACACAAAAACCCATCAATATTGACAAGAACCCAGTGGGCTTTTTGTGTTAAAAACCCATTCATACAGAAATAACAATTACTGCCTTAGGGATGGCATTTCAATGTTACCTTAAAATCATCACTCACACTACCCTTAATGTTAAGGTGAACTTGGAATGAGTACATTTAGGTGGCTCAAAATCCACATGAATTAAGGGAACTTTGATATACCATAGATTGACAAATATCAATCGAAAATCTAAGATTATTCTGAGCAATAAATTATAATATGAAGAATTTCACAGGGTAAGCTAAATTATTAAAATAATTTCCCTATTCGAGGCTCTTGATTTTGTCTTAAATGTTCATAATTTAGTAGTCTGAAATAGACAATATTTTGAGTAAAAAATCAAAAACTCTGTTCCAACCGAGATGAGAACCGTTCCAGAACTAGTAATTTCCAATTGCCCATCAATTTCTCAAGAAGTTGAATGTTTATCCTAGTTGACAAATAAATTGATCAAATGAAAATTACCATTCTAGAACGGTTCTCATGTCGGTTGGAACAGAGTAGTTGTGGTAAAGAGAAAAGAATACTCCACTACACCAACATTCTTGCTCTGGATCTGAGGAATTCTAAATTTGCCTGCAAAAATTATGAGCCGATGAAACTTCCTTCCTAATCTTTAATATCTATCTGCAAAAACAATAAGCTGAATTATTAAAGTAATTTTTCTACTGGCCAGGGTTGGCAAAAACAGTTTTTGGGTTTTTGCGGGTTATTGTGTTTTTGTAGGGTTTTTTTGTTCACTTAGACAAAATTGTATATTTGTTTTGAACTTATCGAACATTAAAAATTTTCCAAAAATGACACTGAGACAGTTTTTGTTTCACAGCTCTGTTAATTTTGATCCGATTTCTATGTAATTAGGCTCTTATTAAAGCTAATCAAATTCTCTACAAACCTGTTGATAGAGATTTTAATTTGGTTTCAGCAGTTTTTGCACCTGAGAAGCTTCAAAATTTAATTTATCGATCATTGAAAATTTTCCAAAAATGACACTGAGATAGTTTTTGCCTCACAACTCCGTCAATTTTCATCCGATTTCAATGTAATTATGCTCTAATTGAAGCCAATTAAATTCTCTACAAACCTGTTAATTGATATTTCAATTTGGTTCTGACAGATTTGCGCCTGAGAAGCTTCAAAATTGAATTTATCGATCATTGAAAATTTTCCTAAAATGACACTGAGATAGTTTCTGCCTCACAGCTCCGTTAATTTTCATCCGATTTTAATCTAATCAAGCTCTAATTAAAACCAATTAAATTTTCTACAAACCTGTTAATTAAGATTTCAATTTAGTTTCCGCAGTTTTTGACACAAAAAGCCCAAATCCCAATGGGTTTTTGTGTATGCCAACAATGCCAACCCTGTTCCAGGCTCTTGAAATTGTCTTGAATGTTCATAATTTATTGGTCTGAAATAGACAACAATTGGAATGAAAAATGACAGTAGTAAATAGTAAAAAAACCACTCCACTACACCAACATTTTTACTCTGGATCTGACAAATTCAAAATTTGGCTTCAAGATTTATGAGTCAATGAAGCTGCTTCTTAAATCTCTCCCTGCATCTGAGGCTCCGAAAAAATATGAGCAAATCAAAGAATCTGATAGTTGAACTGCTCAAAAACTCTATCTTTGTCATCTGAGCTGTAATTTAGATCTAAATTTGACAAAATCAATATAGCTGTAAATAAGATGAACTATGAACCTATAGAATCTGAAACTTTTTCTTGAAAATTTCATTTTTATAATCAAATCGAAATCTTATCTATTTAAAATTCACACACGTGACTAGTGATGTAAAATTCCCGAAACAGCTGCGAACATTCTCGGAAACTTTCCGGGAATATTGGAAACTTTCGGGAACTTATGGAAATATATTTTTTTTTTTTTAAATTTATAGCTAAATCAGACTAATCGTAGTAAGCTTAATTTACCTATTATTGTAGTGTACTCACTAAGACTTTAAACCAAAAAAAGCACAATTTTTTTCTGTAAGATCAGCTAAAAATTGAACTATGTAGTAAAAACACTTTCATGGATGGTTGAATAAGGCTTTAAAGGAAAAGCTGATCCGATTAACCCAATCTCTCAGCTCTTTATTTTTTATCTTTCTTCAATGAAGATTATTTGAAAAAAAGACAAACTGTAGGATGTAGGTACATCAGCTGGTGATCGGGTAAATCGGATCAGCGTTCCCGTAAAGACAGTTGGACTGGCCTACGTCATCCATATAAATTGAAATGACGTCACTGGGACCTTGTATTCGTAATAATCTCGCATTTTTATAAAATTCTTCTGGAAAGTTCTTGGAAATATTTTTTTGAGAGTTTTTGATTGAAAGTTTCCGAGAATATTCTCATTCAGGAGAACGTTTCCATTTTTTATCGGCGAATATTCTCGGAAATTTCCCAATGTTCGCGAATATTCGCATGGGAATATTTTCGACTCACATCACTACACACGACATTGTTCTGAATCTGAGATATCTGGAAATATAAGCAAATCACAAAATCTGAAAATAAATTTAAGGGAAACTAAAGTTAGGAACAGAATCCCGCCCCTGATCTCCCCAGATTTTTGAAAGTTTTGAATATTTCCCACAGAATATCCCATTGTGAATGACCCCTCGTTTCAATCAATTAAAGTATTTTGTGTTTTCTTTTGAAAATAAATTCCACTTTAAGAGATAAACAATTAGTAGTTGCTTAACTATATTTTGTGAAAATTAAATTTAGGAACATCCTGGTGAAGAAATCCAATGTAAATGGCGCAACTGTTCTCGCCTAACAAAAAAGAACCTGCAGCCCTTCCCTAGCATCACCAGGCTGATTCGTCACGTCAGAGACATGCACATAAACAAAGGAAATGGCAGAAGCATCGCCCCCGATAGCAGAAGCAAAAACTTCAAGCCTTCTAGCAAGGCTGCAGCCATTAATCGTCTCAGTACTTCAACAAGTGCTGCTGCTGCAAGTGTATCTGGTAAGTTTTTAAATAATTTTGTGCTTCTTTGCTTTTTTTTTTCATTGCTGAAACTAACAAATAATTTTTTTCTGGAATAGCTGCTATTACTAGTTCATTCATAACATCGCCAGTGAATTATACGTCGGTTATAGTTGCAGGTAATTTTTGTCACACTCTAGTAGTTAGAGGTAGAACATTAGAAGTGTGTCAAAGAATTTCTATTATTGTGTATGACTAGCAGCTTGGAATTTCAAAAGACAAAAGTAAATTATAGTCTCTATAGGAAGAAACTTTCTTTCCTGCAGACATCATTTCCATAAGTTTTCTCAAAATTTGTAGTAAATCGATTTTCATCATGTTTTGCGTTTGCGTCCAAAATAATCATAATATGGTGTTACATCCTTATATGTTGCATTTTTAATGGTGCTTGGTGAACTCAAAAGTGAATTTTGGTGGCAACACCATTGAATAATTCACACTTTATTTAGCTCCCGCTTCAACTTCGTCCGCTTCCGGTTCGACCACACAAAAATCCTCGGACGCCATGTTCATCTCAGTTCCTCCAAGACCGCAAAGAGTTTTACACTCTGAAGCCTACATCAAGTAAGTAATTGGCATTTCACAAATACAAATTTCTTACAAACTTATTTATGTTTAGGTACATCGAAGGTTTGAACGCTGAACAAAAACACGTGACCAATTGGGAGCGCACTCTGCACGCCACTCCGGAAAATTGCCCCAATCCCGATCCGGAAAAGTTGGCCCAAGTCGCCACTTGGTTGGGTAAACGCGCTGACCAGCACGACAACGTTCTTGCAGCCTTGTGGCAGCTCAGAAATCAATTGATGAAAGATTCTTTGTGTTTGCATAAAACTTTCTAATTGAACTGAGAACGTGGACGTGGCAATATGGAAATTTATGTTATAATACACTTTTTTTTGGGTAAAGGCTCTGTATATATTTTATATTTTTAGTGATGTATAGTTTAAGCAGGAAAAAAATGTTTGCTAGGGTTTTTTTTTTTTAAGTTTAACTGTGAAATATTTACACATACTACATTAGTACATAAGTCAAATTAGGAGCATTGCATTTTTAATTTACACTCAATACATTTATCAGAATGGTATTTTTTTTTCTGTGAAATATTAATGGTGTATTTTTTTTTTTTTGTATCAAGAAATATGTAGATCGTTAATTAAAATGACTGAAGAATTAGCAAAAAAATAGTTTTTCCTTTCTGGCCCCTTTACATGTAAGGTTTGTTCCAACACATCAAAAACCGTCCTATAAACGGTTTCCAAATCACTCTGTATACGGAATTTTGGAAATTTTTGGCTTTGTACAGGGTACGTTGTACGGTTTCTTGATGTGTAGGAACAAAGCTATAAGAAAATGAAACAACCTTGAATTATTTGTATAATTTTATTTGTACAAAATATTTGGTGAGCAACATTTTTTGCACTTGTTTTTTTCACATAAAGCCTAAAAAAAAAAAAGGAATGTGCTAAATTTGTAATCGGTTATCTGGCTTTTTGAGGGGTTTTCATTTGATGAAAACTAACCAACTTGCTGAAAATTTCTTAAGCCAGGTAGATACGGTTCAAGTGTACTTGGATCAAGTATCCTTGGACAATACTTGGATCGTATCAACTGCTTTGAGTCCAGTTGGACAAGTACATCCAACTTGGTCCAAGTTCTCATCCAATTGCAGTTGGACCAAGTCAACCTGACTTAATCGAAGATTGCCAAGAAATTTAAAAAAAGTTGAGGATTCGAATAGTTTCCCAAATCAAGCAAATTTATTATAGATGTGGTTAGTTTTCAAATGTATGTTATACTAGAATTTCCATAATAGTAGGCTAATATTTGAACTAGAATAATTGCAGTAACGTCTACTATACAAAAATTCTAGTAAGTATACAAAAGCCTTAAGCAAATGTGCTGATCTGAAAAATAATTTCACCTACGAGCGAGTATAGAAAGTGCACTTTACAGTACACTTTGATGATGATAAGGGACGAGTTCACGATTTTGATGAGGGCTCATTTTGTCTATATTCAACCATCAAAGAGGAAATATTTCAGATTTTTATTCAAAAAAATGGAAGAATTTAATAGTCACCAATAATCTCACACTGCTGTTGTAAACACTTATTACCACAGTACATAAGAAAAATGAATAAATTAATTAACATTTTTGCTGTTAAAAGGCCAAAGTATCGTTTTCAACTTGGCTTTCCGCACTTATTGGGTAAATTACTTTTTCAGATCAGTGAGCCAAAGAAAACTTAAACGATAATTATTCTTGGAGAAAGGCAGTGTGGAGTTTCTTTATTTTTGGCTTCAGTAACCGACCAGATCGGCTACGGTTTGATCCATTTCGTCTGCGATCGCTTTGAACTTACTTTTTTCCAAGACGAGGTCATCTAGAAATAATTTGTTAGAACAAATCCAGTTGTGAAATAATTACTAAATACACACACCAGCAAAATTAGGGGATCGGACAAGTTTGACATCAATTTTCTCTCGATTTCGATGAATTTTTCACAGATTGTAGCTTGATTCTTCAGGACTACATCTGACTTCTTACCGTTATTAAATAATTCGTCTTTATATCATATACAGGGATGGAAAGAAAGTCAGTAATTTTCAGAGTTTTTTGAAATACCCTTTGGAGTGAACCACTGGAAATTCAGAACAGTTTTCAATACCAAATTGTAGCCTAATCTTTTCCAAACATTTTCATTTTTTATTCACTCTGATATTTTCAATATTATAGAAAATTGAAAATACAGAATTTCGAAGAAAAGATGGATATTGACCTTGATTTTCTCCACGTCGACATACGAATTGGATATGAAAATGTGTCGTTTACCAATTTCAAGTCGTGTGTGTGTGTGTGAATGTTTACTTCAAGTTAAATATTGCTTGTAGCACTTCTCCATAGCGAGCTCAAGTTTTAGTCATTTACAATGAAAATCGCAAACGACTTATGTGTGAAGTTCACCTTACGAGTCTAGCACTATGGAAAGAATGCGGATAAAAAAAATGCATGCCTATTTGACTTCCAATAGAAAATACCTTAATGTTTATGTATGATACACACCTACATTTATAAGGAAAAAGTAATATTTAGAAACGCTGCGCGCACGCCTATGACAGGCAGCATAAAGCTCGAAATAGATGGCGTTATTCCCCCTTGCCCTTCAGACGTCGTAGTGCTAGACTCGTAAGGCGAACTATATAGATTATTCACAGACCATCAACAAATTTACTTTGTTAGATGCTTATCTGCTTCCAAAAATTGAAACATTAGTCAATAAGATTTCAAAATATGAAGTATTTAGCACAATTGATTTGAAAAGTACCTATCATCAGATACTCATTAAAGAACAGGATAAAACATACACTGCATTTGAAGCTGCTGGTAAATTTTAGTTCTGAAGAATACCATTTGGTGTAACAAATGGAGTTGCTTGCTTTCAAAGGATAATTGACTTAATAATTTCAGAAGAAAAATTGACAGGCGTTTATGCTTATTTGGATGATGTAACCGTGTGTGGCGAAAATCAAGAGAAACATGATCAAAATTTGAAGAAATTTCTGGAAGCCGTCAGAAAATGTGGACTTACAGTGAATCAAAATAAATGTTCATAATAATATGCTCAAAAATCAATCAATATCTTAGGCTACACTGTAGAAAACAGATCTATGAAATCTGATCCGGACAGACTTCCGTGAACTTCAGAGAGTACTAGGAATGTTCTCTCATTATTCTAAATGGATACAGAATTTTTCAGCTGTAAGTATTTTCCTTTACTAGAAAATCAAATCCTGGATTTTGAAACGATAAAGACAGACATTGCAAACTCACTCCTTTGGTCAATAAATGAACATGGAACTTTAGTTCTGGAAACTGATGCATCAGAATTCTGTATAGCCGCGACTCTGAAACAATTAGGAAAACCTGTAGCTTTTCTCTCAAGAAACTTATCTGAATCAGAAAGAAAAAGCAAGTTGTAAAATTAAAATAGATAAAATGTTCCAAAAAAAATTGATGTCATACTTAATGTAAATTTTGTCTGTTCCCCTAATTTTACCAGTGTGTGTACTACAAGAAAAGTCTTTCTAAATATTTTTCAGAAAATCCAAACGAAGACGTTTTAAAACAAAACAAAAAAAAATAATAAGTGCATAAATAAATATATTTCCATTTGTTTGTGGTACTACAACAAAGTTAGAAATCTTACATTTGAAACACAAATAAATCTAAAAGAAGAAAAAAACATAAGTGATTCAATAATTTTGCAAATTAGTCATTAAAAAGATGTCAAAAGAGTCGCTTAACCAAATTGTAAAATTATTAACGAACACAAAACTTAAAAGAGAGTGGGATAAAGGAGGAATCTACAAAATAAGTTCGACGAAAGCAGTGTCCAAATCGTCTCCAATTTCCTTGTAACGTTCTTTTTCTGCGACAAGTTCGTCTGTGAAAGACAAAATAAATAAATAAAAATAAAAATATTTGATCTGTAATAAGTATAGTGTATATTTTAGTAGAGCAACATTATTAGTTTACTTACCTTCTTTTGGCACATATTATGTTAATGTCACATAAAAACAGCTCATGCAAAAAAAAACAATAAAGGAAGCAGCAAAACAAAAAATGTGAATTAAAAATATATAATTAATAAATCAATTAGTTTATAACTACATAAAAATACACTTCTTTAATATTAGAAAAATATAAACAATAAAAGGAAAGGTGGCTTTAAAATAAAATTTATTTATCAAATAATACTTGGATTTTGGAAGAATTGTTTTGTTGTGCTGTAGGCGAACTTTTTGACATTTGGTAGCAGAATAATATCAACGATAATAATAATTGCAATAACAAAAATTAAAATAAATGCAGTGTACCAAGTGCCAAAATAGAAAAAGCTATAGAGCATTTAAAAAAATATACAACTATCATTGTAGTGTAGTGAAATTAGAAGTGAACCTGATTATACTGAAACAAAATAATTTCTTTTGAATATTATTTTATCGATTCAGTATAATCAGGTTCCAGAGGTAGAAAACCCAATTGCACTTCACTAATAATTAAAAAAAAAGCAACTAAATAAATTTGAATACATATTATATAAATAAGTATAAAAGGCCATGTTCTTTCGATTTCATATGGCAGTGATTAAAAAGTAATATTGCAACAAAAATAATAAGAATCGTAGTGTAATTTAGCAGCCGAAATTTATAAGCTAGCGATAAATAATTTAAAACGTGTGGACAAAGTAAGTTCCTACAACCTAAAGAAATAAATGAAAAAGCACCAAAACTTATAGGATAATATTGTGGTCCCTATATCGGAATGTTTCGGTTTGAACCTGAGCTTGGAAACAATTTCAATTAAAATCAACGACTCTCCAATACGATTTAAAAAAAAAAATGTATATAAAATTATGTGATTAATTTTACATATTCTGTATGTCGTGTAATGTGGCTTCCATTTCGTCGGCGAGGATTTTGTTCTTGCCCTTTTCGGATAAGAGGTCATCTGCAGAAGGGATGGTTAGAGGTTAAACAAAAAAAAAAAAAAAAAAAGAAAACAAAGAAAAAAAACATTAAACGTCTGCGCTTTGATTTGTTAGTTGCAAAATTCTCAAATTTTGTGCAGTTTATATGTTACCCAAACCTATTGGGGGGGATAAGTTTTGGTTTGGGTTGGTACAAATTGCATCAAGTTACTATACAGGGTGTTACAAATTCGTAAGTAAATATAGCGTTCTTGATATAAGGTATACAGGGGTTCGGAAAAGCAAAATCAGTTTAATTTTTTCCCGAGCTTATTTGAAAACATATTTCAAAATAAATGACACTTCATTCTTCATCATTACCACTTTTTTTCCTCTACATTATGGCATTATCAAATTTGAAATTCGACGTTTCGTCTTTGGGCCACCTTTTTTTAAAACCTTGTGCAAAAAAAATTATATTTTATTTTTGGATTTTCATCAAAAAATGCCGGTCTAAACCCAGCCATTTCGATTCAGTTGATACACGTGCTATTCATGACCAATCAAGTCAACCATAGATCATTTCAAAATTTCCTACGAGAAATGACGATAGCTTTTTCCTGTTTTGCCTTTTTCTAACCTTAAATAATATCACAACCACATCCCTAGGCCTAGAGATTATTATTGTTTCATGATGCTACCATTGCTACCAGAAGAATAAAAAAACAGAATAGCAAAATAGATACTAAAAGTTGCTTACACACTAAATAATAATTGTCAAATTGACATTCTGTCTGTGCAATGTGTGTTTATTTTTTAAAATGACCTCATTACAAATGAGTACAGTTTAGACTGCTTATGTTCATTCAGTAATATACATATGGTTACCTATTGGCCGTCGTTTTTTATCTGACACTTTCCGTATGAGGAGCGAGGGGGTGAAGCACATGGTAGAAACCACATAAAAACAGGTGTGCCGTCAGGTAACCATTGACGTTTTAACATAAGGAGCCACCAGCTCACATTTTTTTTTGGGAGTATCAGATTAAAATCGACGGACTTTACATAAATGGTTTTATTTGCGACTGACATATAATGTAAGTATTATATTTGTGATATTGATTGACAGTATAATGCCATATATTATTCCCACGAGGAATTAATGGTCATTATTGTCGTAAATGAAGTAGAGTATACTACTCGCACTAATGGCTATTGTTTCCTCGGAATGTTAGTCCCTCGCCGCTAACGCGGCTCAGTTTGTAAATATTCCTCGGGAATAAAAGCTATAATTATTGACTCGTGGTATAATCTACTATTATTTAAAAACTAAATATAAGTCAAGTTTTTGCCCCTCCCCCCTGAAAAATGTTCTATGGACGCCCTTGCAGTCCCACCTAGTGGAAATGTGGACAAAAAAAGACAAGTAATTTTTCATATACATTCAGAAATTCTAAACCATACATACATAGTTGAAATTGAATTTAGGCTTATCAGAAGAGGAAATAGTCGAGAATACAAAATCTGTTCCAAATGTTTTTGAGGCCAGAAAGTTAAAGAAGAGAATAACTGAAAACAGTGATAGTATCTATGTGAACACTGAATCAGTGGTGTTTACATTCCAAGGGAAAGTGATTCCAAGGTCAGTAAACCTAGATTTCTGTGATGTAATGATCTCAGTTTATATAAGTCCAGTATTGATGGGTTTCAAATGTTTAAGATAACGGCAAAACAGTGCTGAGGCAAACAAAGATGTCCGATATGTGCGGAAGAACACGAAGAAAGGGACTGTGAACAAACCACACCTAATTGCTTATAATGCAACATGGAGCATAAAACTACTGACAGACAAGACAAGGAGTATCTGAGACAAAAAGCAACCAAAATTAAAATGATAACAGAAAACATTCCCTATGAGAATGTATTTGAGATGCATTACCTTGGAAAATTTTCTAAAATACAAGGAACTTGCTGCCAGAACAAGACGAATACTAAAGCAAAAAAAGAAAGATGGCTTTAAAAAGTTTACAGAAACACTTAGTAGAGAATCAGCAATTAGGTATGTTTGGAGGGTAGTTAAGAAATTTTCAAACAATATAGTGAATGAAGTCAAACAGACCTACTGAATACGCTAGCACTTTATCAGCGGAAATCCAGAGGATTAAAGATGAGTGCATTGAATTAGGTATAGAAGAGCTTGATATTGTCCTTCAAGGAAAAAAGGATACAACGCCAGGAGAAGACGGAATTACTTACCGTATGTTGTCAGGACTACCGCCTTTTATGAAAACTACCTTGTTCCAACTTTTTAACGAAATCCTTAGATTCGAGACAGGTATTCCGCAGGCGTGGAGAAACCAAATCGTCATCCCGCTCAAAAAACCCAAGAACGACCCTGAAGACTTTAAAGCATACAGACCAATAGCTGTGACATTGTGTCTTGGTAAATTAATGGAAAGCATGGTTGACACGTTTAGAACATTTCTTGGAGAAACTTTTCTATTTTAATGTAGTCCTTGTCTTGCCTGTGCCTTCATAGACATTTGGGCTGCTTATGATAATGTATCATTAGAAATTCTTAGAAAAAAATTGAATGAAGCCGGGGTTAATGAATGAATTATTAAGTATATGTATATAATATGTATTAAGATAGAAATATAACTATAAGAAAACCGTTCTATGGAAACTTAATAGGTCCACAAAAAACACACATGAGGTTGCCGCAAGGATCGATATATGTAAGAATGCCATTTGGTCTTGAAAACTCGCCTGCAACATTCGAAATTGTAATGGACTCAATACTTAAAGAAATCTAAAAAAGAGTGTATTAAGATGGCATCTTTATAGTTCTCAAGTTTATAGTCCATTGCAGACAGTGAACCACAAAACAAAACAAAAATCAAATATTTTCCAGGACAGTCTAGAAAAGTTTTAAGAGTCTCAATTTAAGATTATTATCATGAAAGTGCCAGGTTTTATTAGGTTTGGCTCTTATTGCCGAGACCAAGTTATAGAAAGGACCCCGCAATATTTAAATGGAAATTGGTTACCCGTGATATTTGGATGAAATTTAAATATGTCATTGGGGATGCCGTAAGCAAAATTTTTTACCATGGGCACAACCGTGTATATATGACAGGTGAGGCGTGGTTAGTTGTCAAATATTGGAATCTTATATCCAAAAGAAGAGTGACTATGGCAGATTTTGATGATCGAAGTATCGATATCTACTAAGTCGACCAAGTCAAGTCGAAAAATGTCAACCATTATGACATCTGTCAAAACCCTGCTAAACGGCAGCACTCATCTTTTCCCGTTTTCAATATTTTATGATGTCATTTGACAATTTTAACTTGTATGTAAATTCTGAATTCAAAAATTGAAAAAAAAATGACAGAACTGTCAAAACCTGTCATTTGTTTTAGTAGAAAAAAATACTCTAATCTGGTTCCTTTTTGTTTCAAGGTAGTTTAGCGGTGATAAAACATTAAACAAGGTTCATGCATGTCACATTTTGACAACTGTCAGAATCTGTTAATAGATTTTTGGTTCATATTGAGTTTGTTTGCTTAGTGAAGGTTTAGTTCTATTGTATTATTCTATCATTAAAGTTGTAGAACTTCACCAAGCAAACAAACTCAATATGAACCAAAAAGCAAAAACAGATTCTGACAGTTGTCAAAATGTGACATGCATGAACTTTGTTTAATGTTTTATCACCAATAAACTACCTTGAAACAAAAAAGAATCAGATTAGAGTATTTTTTTCTACTAAAACAAATGACAAATTTTGACAGTTCTGTCATTTTTTTTTCAATTTTTGAATTCAGAATTTACATACAAGTTAAAAGTGTCAAATGACATCATGAAATATTGAAAACTGGAAAAGATGAGTGCCAGCGTTTGACAGGTGTCAAAATGGTTGACATTTTTCGACTTAACAGAAATAGATTTTTTGTTCAACAAAATCTGCCATAGTTACTCTGCTTTTGGATATAAGATTCCAATATTTGACAGCTAACCACGCCTCACCTGTCATATATACAGGGTTGTGCCCATGGTAAAAAATGTTGCTTACGGCATCCCCAATAACATATTTAAATTTCATCCAAATATCACGGGTAACCAATTTCCATTTAAATATTGCGGGGTCCTTTTCTAAATGTGAGAATGCCATTTGGCCTTAAAAACTCGCCAGCAACATTACAGATTGTAATGGACTCAATACTTAGAAGAATCTAAAAGGCACGAAGTTGCCAGGTTTTATCAGGTTTGGTTCTTAATTGCCCTTAAAAAAGTTATAGAAATGTATGTGAGAATGCCATTTGGTCTTAAAAAGTCGCTCCTATGGTTTGTGCTGGCGACACAGGTAAAAAGGAAACGTAAAAAGACCTGTCACTCAAAAAAGCCGTAAGGTTGAAGACACAATGACAAATACAAGGTACAAGAAACAAGATACAAAATACCAAAAATAATTCGAAAAGCTGTATATGTAATTGTAAATTGTTCAGTGGTTTCACAGTGGTACAATTACAACAAGTTAGAAATTTATTTGATGGAATTTATCCTGATAGACCTTTACCACTGCTTCTAGGGTTGATAATAATTTACAAAAATACGGGTGCGTTTCCTCCTGAAACCATAAACGGAATAACGTCCAGGAAAATAATGAGGAGCAAAAAGCAAAAGAAACAGGGATGCTATCAGCAGTAAAAAAAATTGTACCAGAAAGTAAGAAATAATTGTACTAGATTGGCGACATTGTGTACTAGCTGAAAGCGCGTCAAGTTTTGAAATTTGAATACAAATGGAGGCTCTGCTAATTGGGGATAAATATCACTTGTTTTAGGATCGAATTCTCAATAACGAGTCACCTCCGGGTTGGTTTTAACTCCAGGGTAAACGTGCCCATTTGCAATGTTTACCCTAGAGTTATGCTAAACCTGGGGGTGACTCGCTATTGAGAAACCGGCCATAAATAATAGAAATAAATACATTTTTAATTTTTACTTTAGTTCAGTTTTATAGACTTTCGATTAGCGTGATCGGCTGTGTAAAAGTAAAAGTGTATATGCGTTCGAAACCATATTCGATACGCCACTTTTTTGTTTGGCTTCAGCCGCACCGGAGTGGGACCTGGAACGTGGAACCCAACGTAGAAGCAGAGAGTAGAGCTCAGAACTCAGGTACGACACAGCGAAGAGCGACACTCGACTCCCAATCCAAATTGTACTAGATTTTTGAGAGAGGTACTAGCGTACTAGGTGAAATGTGATTGTGCTAGATCTAGTACAATTGTACTAGAAATAGCATCCCTGAAAAGAAATTATGTTGTTGGCATAAGCAAAGTTTAGCATTTGTTAACGACGAAACTCTATAACCATGTCGATTCGTGCGCTTCAAAAAAAATGAGTATCATTCGTACAAAGTACGAAGCTCATAAAAAATTGATCCTGAGGGCAACATCAGGAAATATGGTTTCAACAAGATAGTTGTCCAGTCCATAATACGGGTTTCATTCATAATACAATGATAATATTCTTCTAAACCGTCTCATTGCTGGGTTAACAGCTACAATATCGTGAACAGCCCCCTCCCCTGATCTTGCAGCTAACAATGAAAAGCAGTCCCATAATGACATTCTTATCTGAAGCGGCCGAAATGCCACTGAAGGATCCTACTTAGTACAAAGTTAATACTCAGAAAAGTAGCTATTAAAGGGGACGAGGTCAATAGGGTGATACTAAACTTCTATGGTTGTTACAATTAGGATCCTCCTTATATTGGCGGATTAAGTGCGCTCCGGCGGTAATGGAGGGGGTAGATTATGTGTTGCCCAAATAGGAATATTGGAAAGATCGCACAATCTGCCATGTTTTGAAGAGGATATGACAACTCATCAGCCACGGAAAATAGACTGGAACAAAAGTTCTGTCCAGATGGCCAACTCTCATTAGGTACAGGAGTTGTTGGAGGAATACTCCGACCATGAAATAATACATATAGATGCATCTTTGCAGTCAATATTAACACATTGTGGAATTGGGATATACAACAACACAAAATCTCAATAACAGGGATGCGAGGATCTAACCAACATTTGTTCAGCAGAGGTGCTAGCCATATATACAGTCCTCAATACGTTAGAGATTGACACAGGAAAAGCTGTTTTAATATCGGATTCTAAAAGTGTTATTTGTGAAAATTGTCAGAGATGGCATCAACAGAGGGACCGATAGAATCACGTTGAGAACGAGGAAGAAAATATTAGATATCCAGAATGGAGAAAAGGAAAATAAAATACTGTGGGTGCCTAGTCATACAGGCATAACAGAAAATGAAAAGGCAGATAGACTTGTTAGAAGAGGCCGAGAGGCAAATAATGCTATCAACAAAACAATAATACACTATAATGATCTATTCACAGTAGCCAAAGAAGGGATATGGAGGTAATTGGGCTGTGGAATTTACCAATAAAGATAGAAATCATTCAAGCCAACACTACAAATTAACGAAGAAACCTCAAAGAACACCGTGGTTTGCAAAAATTAAAAAGGCTGACAGACAAAAAACTAGTGTCTTTTGCAGAATGAGAACTACACATTGTGTCATTCCTAAACACAAACTTGGCATACAGGACAACGAGAATTGTGAATGTGGTGAAATGGGTGATATCAATCATGTGTTCTTGAACTGTGAGCTGTACAGGGATCCGATAGATTGGTTGTATTCAAGACTAAACCAGATGGTAAAAGGACCGATACAGATTGGAGAAATTCTTGCAAATCCAACCAGTAGGGAAGCAGGTATGGTTATGGAATACATCAAGAAGTATGATATAAAAATTTGAAAATAAGCAGTAATTCATGGTTGCAGTTGCTGCATGATTTAGAATGCTATTAGATGCTGATGCTTATAAAATGTGATTGGTTGCTATGAGGTTTATTTTTTCAGGCACATATCCTATTTATTCTCATTTCCTTGGCGTTTTCAAATTTCCCGTTGTATACGCCATAGCAAAAAATTACCTACTTATTCCCAATTGAAATAAAATATTGGCAAGTGGGGTTACCCCACCCAGATGCACTAGTAATAGGATTCTGGCTGACTGTTAAGCTATCCTAGCCTAGCAGGTGAAATAAAATAACAAAAATGATAATTATTCACCTAATAAATTCAGTACTTAAGTGATACTTTACTGCATGCAACGGCAGTCATTAAGTGCGATGAAGGCACTTTTTGTATGTGTTAGGTACAAAATTATACCTATGAGCTATATCTTTAAAAGAAGGCATTATTGAAATTTCTGAATGAGAAGGGATATTTGGGTGTACCTGAACACCAAATCTACTTTACCGCATACTATGCAGTCTACTTTACTACACATTATGTCACATTGAATGTGACGTGATAGTCATGACCGTCATGAACCGCCGCCATGCGGGCTGGTTATGACCCACCAACATCACTGGCCATAATGTAAAGAAGAAAAATGTCATTTATTTTAAAGTATCTCTTCAAATAAGTTCAATATCTCCATACTTACTACCAAGATCCCCATATTTACTCGCGAATTTGTAACACCTTGTATAAACTCAAATGCAAAATAAACTGTGATTTAGATAAAACTTATACATAATTATTCTATTGAGATTCTCAATAAAAGGACTATAAGTTAAAAATTCCTTCTTAATAGATTTTTGAAATCTAGGGAAAGGGAACAAATCAAAAATATTTATAGTAACATCATTATTATTTCATCCAAATCACACCAGTTATTTTGCACTCGAGTTCAAATAACATTTGGTTAAAATTTTGTGTGTCAAAGATGTTTGAAAAATATTTATTTTTGTAGTCTGCCAAAGATGGCAATTTAGATTTAACGAGTCGTTTTACTGACGACGATAAAAACGTACCTTCTAGTCTGTCGACCTCTTTTTGCAATTTTTGCACTGAACGTTCGGCAAATTCAGCACGGGCTTCAGCCTAAAGAGAAAAAATAGTAATTTAACATTGGAATTCAGCAAAATAACTAAGAATTTGTTAGTTTAAAAAAAAAAACATTCACACATTAGACTGACTCACTTCTTAGGGCGGGTATTATAAAACTATTTTGACAGATAACTAAAAGTTAACTTCTGAGTTATTCTGTCAAAATAGTTTTTTAATACCTGCCCTTAGGAATATTTTTCTAAATTTAAGTTGACTTTAGTCGAGGGGTTTTTCACCTAAGAAAATTTGTACACCAATTACCAGTACTAACTGAGATATTTCCATGTATTAATAAAATATTTCCACATATTGCCAGGTATTTTCCTAGTATTATCACATATTACCAGGTATTTCCATGCTATTGACAGACTGAAATCAAATATTTGTCTTGTCAGAATTCTAGGTATTGACATATTTACAGGTATTTACATGGGTATCAACCAATGACATTAGGATATATTGCCTAGATAGATATCTACAAGTATTGACATATATTAACCAGTGATGTGTACACCGATTAACAAGGTGAAAAACTCCTCGACTTTAGTTATATTAGAATCAAGATCCAATATTGAACTTATAAATCGTAGATACTTTTGCCACAATCAGATATTTTAATATTTTTGACAACATGGGCAAAAAATTTTCTACTCAAGAAAGTGTGTAAATTCTCACTCATTGATTAGTTTCAAGCAGTACACGTGCAAATTACTCACCCATATATAAATATTCGTGCAGATCTACATAACCACCAAGCAAAATTACCACCTAAGTGAATGAAATACCCCTATTTTAACCTCCCCCAAAAAGCGTGTATACAATAAAATAAAGTGAAAATTAAAAACAACACCTAGTGACCAGAAATGTTTATATGTTTTGAGTGTGTTAATCAATTAAAATTATCGCGTGTTTGCATGACTTCTCTCAAAAAATAACGGTTGAAATATTATTCTATATATTATATCCCAATTAACTCGATAATTATTTTGTGCAACGAATAAAAAAATTAAAAAAAAATAAATGTGTAGCACACTTACTTCACGCAATTTGTCAGAAATATTGCGGATTTTGTCTTCGCTGTATTCTCTGGTCACTGCCGCCTGACATAGAACAAAACAATAAACAGAAAGATGAAGCTTTTTTGTTTGGACATGCACAATTTGTATAAAAATGAATAAAAATAAATATACATAGAATCGGAAATATACAGGATGGAGCCCTAAACTAAACGATTCAACCCTATCTACAAAAGAATTCTTTGTAGCCTCTTCAAATTACCTCTCTGAGCTGATGGTGGGTTTGCTTTAATGCCTGCGAATATTCTTCTTCTTTTAATGTTGCCTGGGTTAGTTGAAAAAACAAAAAAAAAAATAAAACATCAAACAACAACTATAGGAAAAAAAGATTATTTTTGTAAAGTAAAAAAGGTTTCATCAATCAATCTGCGGCAAAAAGGGGTTAAATTGGCAACACTGAAAAATTTTAATTGCCATTAGGTACCTCCTTTAGGCGGGTGGTCAAGTTCTTGATTTGGTTTTTGTATTCTTCTTCGCGTTGGTTGGCCTAAATTTTAAGTTTGGTTTTTTGGAAAATTTTTGGTATAAAATTGAAATATTATGAAATTGAAATTTGAACTCACCTTTTCTTCAGAGACCTCGAGGGATTTAAGGTTGTTACCTACTACGCGAAGTTCTTCTTCAAGTTCTACGATTTTGCTGAAAAATTAATGAAAATTTTAGTTTTCATTTGAAATATTTCAGGCCTGTTCCAATAATATTTTGGAAACTAAAGATTGTTTTCTCAGTAGTTGTTTTTTATTTTTGGAACAGACCATAAACTTACAAGTAAAAGTTTAATACTAATTTTTGTTAAATGTCTGAGGAATTTGAGGCTTGTTAAAAAGAAATTAATTTTTTGCTTCCCAGTTTGCTGGATATTTTTAATAGAGAAAATTTCGCAGTTAAAAATACAGATTTTGATCATCAAAATTGTTCAGCAAATCAAAAATGAAAAAAATTTTGATTATCACTAGTTTCCTGATTTGCTGAACTATTAATTATTATTACTGGTTCTTGATTGGTTGGACATTTTTTCAGAGAGAAACTCTACCAATTATGTGTCCAAATTTTGATCATAAATGGCTCTTGATTTGATTCTTAAGACATTGTTCAGCAAATCAAGGACCTGTAATGATTTAAATTTTGATTGTTACTGGTTTCTTGATTTGCTGAATTATTTTTCCACGACCAATCAAAGACCCAAAACAGTCCAAATACTGATTATTACTGGTTCGTGATTGGCTGGACATTTTTTTTAAAGAAAAAATCTATCAGTTATGAGTCAAAATGTTGATTATTACCGGCTCTTGATTGACTCTAAACAAATTGTTCAGCAAATCAAGAGCCTGTAATAATTAAAATTTTGATCATAAGTGGTTCTTGATTTGCTGGAAAATTTTCCTGGAGGAAATTCAAAGTCCAACAATTATCCAGATTTCAATTATAATTAAGTCAAAAGCCAATTATAGTTCAATTTTTGTACTAAGTACCTACTAAATTTCAAATTGTCTACAAATTCCTCAGAAATGTACAATAATATAACATTTGACATTCTAACTGCAATTCACTGGCAAATAAGAATTCTTTTTCCAATCAGAAAAACATCTCTATTCATTAAAATGCATTAGAGACAAGCAAACACTAATATTGAAAAGAATTCTATTTGCCAGTATTAAAAACCAAAAAAATCATGCAAACTAAAAATCAAAAAATAAGCACCTATCGGCGTGGTCTGCTCGTTCTTCTGCCCTTTCCAAGTCTTGTTCCATAAGCACCAACTTCCTGGCGACCTGACAACAGCGCAAAATAAAATCATGCCAAAAAAGCAACAACATTAATTAAAAACAAAAAATGTTACAGAAAAAAAAATTCAACTGCTCTGCTTTGCTGGAACAAACCTGGAATTTACAAAAACAGAAAACATGCATCAAAAAATGACACACAAACGTACGATTCGCCAGCTTCGGCACGTTCTTCTGCTCTTTCAAGATCAGCTTCTACCATGGCCAATTTACGGGCTACCTAAATGAGTTAAATTCTTATATTAGAATTTTTTTAAAAATACAATTTGATGATCAAGGTTTTTGTAAAAAAAAAAAAAACGAAAAATAACCATAACATACTTCATTGGTTTTGCAGCCAAAACAAACCGGTAGTGGAGCCATGGAGGAAAAGTTCACTGTGTCTTTTAAGTTATAAATAATTACTATAAAACAATTTTAACATTCCTACTTCAGTGCGTCATATTAACAACAACTGATCAAGATGAATTAATAAATAAGTATTATCTTAAAGCCTGTTTCATAAAATCTCTCTATACATTGACAATTTCTTCATTCATGAAGAAATTATAGCCGATGTAAATTAACACTAAATTTTATCATAATATAAGCAAATTATTCTGTATCTACATATTATACAGATATAAACAAATTAATGCTTTGGCTATAAATATTTTTGATTAATTTTTTTTTTGTTTGAGTCAAAACTCAATAAATTTGGACCCATTTTTCTTTGTTATTAACATAATTAAGCCTTAATGCTAAAAAACCCTGCCCCATTATTAAAACTGCACACTTTGAACCAACACTAAAAAAAACCACTATTTGAGCACACTTATAGTTAAGGCACTTTAAAAAAAAGGAACCGCCATTTTTTGGTTCCAAAACATGGATATTTTTCATTTTTTTTTTCTCCTAAATAACACCAAACACTAAATAATTAAAATTGCACTGACAAAGATTCTTGGTTAACAAGAGGGATTAAAATAATAACTAAAAAAAAAAAACACCGAAAGTTGAGTTAATTTAAGGCGGTTCCGCGTTTGCACACAATTTATTAACCTCATCGTATTTTTTGTCAGCTTCTTCTGCCAAGAATCTGGCTTCTTTAAGCTGGTTCTCCAAAGCGTCCATACGTTCTTCATCTGCCAACGAGCGGTTCTCGAGAATCTTGCGTTGCCTGTATAATTTAAACAATAAATGAAAAAAAAAAGGAGTTTTACAATAAGGGGATGGTTAATAAGCCACACGAAAACATGTTTGTGAACACAGTAAATTTTCTCTGGAAGTTTCCTAAAAAGACACTCACATGCAAAAGAAATATTTAGGTACCTACATATATAAAGATGATGAAAATAATAATCCTAAATTTTTAAAATATACTTATTTTTAAGTGGATTGTTAGAATTAAAATAAACTTGAAATTTCTTTCTGGAATTGCAAGTTTAGTTTAAATTGAATTTTGTCTCGAAAAAGATCCTTTTAAGGTCAACAATTTCAAATCTTAGATTATAATATCATGAGGATAGATAAGGAGGTAATCCAGTTATTTTGGAAAATGTAGATTAGTGTAGTAGCCTTGAGAAATAACATAATCTGAAATGTATTTCTAATAGGTGATTTCTCACAAATTGATTAACCAAGACAATAAATTGAATTATAAGTATTCTTAGTTTATATTTTTCAAGTATTCTTCGATTTTTATTTCACGATTGAGATTGTTTTGAGATTAGTTAGGGGTCATAGAACAAAAATACAATTTGCGCTATTTTTTTCTCAAATTGATACTCAGGCATTTGGATGCCAATATCAGGAAAATCAACAAAAGTGAATGAATTGGAAAACTTAAAACTGATGACATGAGGTCATGTTGATCAAGATTACAAGCACCAAAACAAATAAGTCTCAAGATCTTCTATGGTCTTTGGAAATTATTTGTTTAACAACAAAATTATCAAGGTTTCTTCATGTCATTATTTTTTTACTGGATAAATTTGAAATTTATGGAAAATGCGCTCCCGTCTTCCATCTAACCCTCAACATACAACTTTCAAACATTTTTCCCTTATTAATTGCAACAAGAAGTGTGGAAGGAGTGCTGGAATGATCATCGATCGTAAGTGGGTCCGCTGAAGTAGTGGTTATTGCTATCTATAGGCCCCCTCAGGGCAATATTGATCTCTTCTTTCAAATTCCTACAGATATTCTTGCTATTTGTCAGTTGAAATTTTCAAGTCACAAAACTATACTCACAGGTGATTTCAATATTGATTTGCTGGATCAGTCCTTCAGGTCAAAGAAATTTAAAGACCTCTTGACAAGTTTTAATTTTAATCAAACTGTTTTTGAGCCAACAAGAATAACAAATACATCCAAATCAATTTTAGATAATATTTTCATCAATTTTATAAACCCATATCAAGCAGAGGTTATAGCAACTGCTCTGTCGGTTCACGAGGCTCAAACTCTGAGGGTCGTGAATGCGGTCGCTCCGGAGTGCAACTTCATGCCCTTCAAGAAGCGATCTTTTTCAGATAGTAAATTGTCTCACTTTAAGCTTGAGTTGCAGAGGGTGGATTGGTTTGAAGTGTATGCTCAACAACAGGTAAATACTGCATACCATGTTTTTAGCAGTATTTTGGCCCAATACTTCAACCTGATATTTCCTGAGAAAACCATTAAAGCCAAACTGAGAAAACCTAAGTACTGGATGACTTGTGGGATTAAAATTTCTTTAAAAAACAAACGAATTTTGTACAAAGAAATGATAAGGGGTAGTATCACAAGAAATTTTTTTTAAAAAATATTCAATTATCTTAAGAATCTAAAAAAAGAGAAAATATAAACTTTATACAAACTTCAAAAAACCCAGGAAGAGCAATATGGACATTGATTAACTGGGTACAGGAAAACGGGGAAAAAAGAAAAGAATCGTTGCTCAAAAACTATTCTAAGAAATACCCAAACAAAGAAAAGAATGTTATACTAAATGAAATAAATGATTTCTATATAAACCTATGTCCTGACCTCAATACAAATATAGATAGCATCGCAACAAATATACCCTTTTACACCAAAAATTTATTTTTAAAACCTACAAATGCTAATGAGATCAAGCACGTCATATAATATCCAAATTAAAAAATAAAAAATCAGTAGGGTAAGATCAAATCCCAGTCATTTTAATGAAAAAAAGTGGCAGATGAAATTGCTGAACCACTGTCTCATATAATTAATTTAATGCTTGTCACAGGAGTATTTCCACAGATAAACTGAAAATAGCCCAAATAATTCCAATTTATAAGAAAGGAGATGCTCAGGAAATAAAAAAAATTCGACCAATTGCACTCTTGAATAACTTTAGGAAGATATTTGAGAGGATAATATACGATCGCGTTATTTCGTTTTTTGAGAATGAGCAGTTGCTCTCAACATATCAGATGGGTTTAGGAAGAAAAAAAGTACCACCAGAGCTATTTATCGAACACTAACTAAAATCTTGGGGTCCCTTAATGGGAGAAATGAGACAGTGGCGATGTATTTGGATTTATCTAAAGCTTTTGACAGTGTTAATCATGATGTGCTGCTGGCGAAACTGGAAAGGTATGGGTTGAGGGGCGTTCCTTTACAACTGATATCATCTTATCTATGTGATAGAAAGCAGCAAATTATTGAGAGACACAATGGGGAAACATTAACATCAATTTCTAGCCAGATCAAAAAAGGTATACCTCAGGGATCGATCTTTGGACCACTGCTGTACATTATCTACACTAACGAGCTTGCAAATATAACTGATCAGTCTACAGTCCAGTTTGCAGATGACACTTCAGTAGTCTTTTCGGCAGAAGGAATGGAGTAACAAAATTCACACAACTTTGGGTTCCTTTCAGGGTTGGTTTGACTCAAATAACCTGGTTTTAAATGTCGAAAAGACACAGCTGCTACGTTTCTCATATCAACGGGATTGGTCTCCCACTCAGTTTGTTTGTGATGATGGTATAGCTTTAAACACTACAAGATCGGCCAATTTCCTGGGGGTAAAAGTTGATTCACGGTTGGACTGGAGTGACCATATTGACTGCCTGGCTGGCCAAATATCAAGGCACTGCTATGCCCTGAGGGTGCTGGCATTAACTGCTTACCACGCTTACATTCAATCAAGATTGAGGTATGGAGTTGTATTCTGGGGTAATAGTCCCGAAGTCTCTCAAGTTTTTATTGCACAAAAAAGATGTATAAGAGCAATATTTGCTATGCACCAGACAGATAGCTGTAAACCTATATTTAGGGCTCACAGCATATTAACATTACCAAGTCAATATATCCTGGAAGCAGCATTGTTTGTTAAGCAAAATCCTGATCTTTTTCTTGAGCACATTAGGGGGCATTGCTATGATACAAGGGGAAGGACTGATCTTGTCAATGTTAGAAGCAAATTTACTTACATACAATAAAACGTTCAATTTTCAATTATAAAAATTTTCAACAAGCTACCTTCAAATTGGCAAAGTTTGCAATTCGATAACCTTAAACATAAGTTGAAAAACCACTTACTTCAAAGGGCTTACTACTCGGTGGAAAAATTGAAATAAGGTTTGAACCAATAAATGTATTCTAATGCTCAGTATTGTATTTTTATTTTTATTTTTATATTGTATTTCTTGTTGTATTTTATCTTATATTGTATTTTTATATTCTTATACTTAACTTATTTATGATTTTAAACTCAAAACATTGAATTCAATTTATATTTAGCTTGTAATATTAGATTAAGGTATTTTTAAATTGACACGTTCTATGTCCGAAAGGGCTTTTGTGATGATTTTTTTTATTTACAATTATGGAACAAATAAATGCTATGCTATGACTTTATTTCTAGAAAAGTATCGAGAGACTGTATTTTCTTTTAATTTAATTTTTGTGACTTGATTATCAAGATTTCTTCATGTGATTATTTTTTATTGGAAAAATTTGAAATTAGGGATAATGAGCTCCTATTTCTCCTCTCAATGGAATCGTCTCTAATCGTAAAAATAATAACATTTGATAGAACTCAAGTACTCGAAAAAAAAAGACTCGGAAAAAGAAGATTAGGACTGGTGGAAACATTTAATCAGTATATTGACACACACACGGAGAAAAAGAAAATAAGGGTGACGGATGGTCGTCCATTTTGGGATATATTTTTTTGACAAGAGTTTTAATCAATTTATGCAAACATACGAGATTCATATAGAAACTGTAGTGTCTTTATTATACTACAAGCTCATTGGACGTCGATTTATCAAGGATAACGCACACCTAACATGGCATTTTTGGGCTCTATGGATTTCGCCCATTTTTTGATAAGTTGTAGAGGATTTAATTCTGAACAACCTTTAAATGGGACGAAATCTTGTAGGTATTAACGGTCTTTGAGATATGAGCGTTGAAAATTGAATTTTTTCGCAACTTTTTGTGTGGAGAGTATACGAAAAACTGGTATGTATCAGTCAAAATTTTGTCAGGTCGACATATTTCACGTCAATAACAAATGTCAACATAGGCTAAGGCCGGGACTTCACTGGCCCCAACATTGGCCCCAGTAGGGTCCCGGCCTTAACCTAAGTTGACATTAATTTTTAAGTGACGTAAAATATGTGAACATGTCAATATTTTGACTGATAAACAACGGTAGCACCCGTATCTCGTATATTCTCCACACACAAAAGTCGCAAAAAAGACCGTAATATACTATAAGATTTCGTCCCATCTAAAGGTTGATTAGAATTAAATCCTCTATAACATATCAAAAAATGGGCAAAATTTATAGAGCTCAAAAATCCTATGTTAGGTGTGCGTTATCCTTTAACTTTGACATCTGTCAAAAATTGCCCAATTTAAGAGGGACGAATTTTTATCCATTATAATGACAAATTTCAAACCTAATGGACATTCAATCGCTTGTAATCGTAAAAATAATAACATTTGACAAGAATTAATTTTTTTACAAGCTCATTTCACGTCGATCTATCAAATTTGACTTTGACATCTGTCAAAAACTGCCCAATTTATAAGGGACGAATTTTCATTAATTGGAAGCTCAATGGACATTCAATCGCCTGTAATCGTAAAAATAATAACATTTGACAGAAATTAATTTTTTTACAAGCTCATTGGATTTCGATCTTCCAAATTTAACTTTGACATCTGTCAAAAATTACTCAATTTAAGAGTTACAAATTTTTATCCAAAAAAATGACACAAATTTGAAACTTAATCAACTTAAAATGTACTTTTTTGTATTAACACCTCACCTACAGCCTTTACCTTTACAGGTAGAAGAAAGGTGTAAATACAAAAGATGTACAGTTTTGGCTGAATTTTTAAAATCCATGGTCTGCAGAAACAAAATTTGAATGTCAAAAATGTGAAATTTTAAATACTTCCAGCTTTTTCCAAATGGGACGACCTTTATCTCATTCTATATTCTTGAAGAGCACAATGCCCCGATTCCAAAAATATATAGTTTGTTTATTTTTGATTGAACAGTCTCTCATATATTCGGCTCCAAGAATTGTAAAAATACTATCCTACTACTGATTTTGTGAACCATTCTATCTATACAGGTGATAGCTGCAAGTAAAATTTGAGGTATGTATAGTCCGACAAATACCTACCATTTTAAAGTCACGTGATATTGGTGGCAAAAAAAAGTATGTCCATTGATAATGTCGTTGATATCACCTACAAAAAGCTAATGGTGGTTAATTACTATTGAATTTTAAGATATGTTCCCACTAGCATTTTACAAACGCGTTTCTGAAGTAGTATTGACCAATCAGATGGGAATTTTAATACTTGCAATTTTTGCGAGACGCACTTTTGTCGCTTCTGCTGCCCCTTGTAATACATTCTGAACTTGAATTGGGTACCCGTTTTCTATTTGCTTCTTTTCGGGTTGGAAAAAGATTAATAAAGTCAAAATAATTAGCTGTGTTTGTTCGCTATATCATTTTCGAAAATAACTTTGACAAACTAATTGATGACAGTGACGGATTCTATTTCAGGTAAGAATTTTATGAACAATGATTAGACACCAATTTTTTTGTCAATTTTACTATCACCGCTGTTTGAGATGTATTCAACAAGGATAGAGAAAAATCACGTGACTTTAAAATTGTATTTGTTGGACTATACTTGGTTTCTCTGACAGTATTTTTAAAATTTTTAGAACCAAATATGTTGGAGACGGCTCAACCAAATATAGACAAACTATATAGTTTTGGAGTCGGGAAATTGTGCTCTTCAAGAATATAAAACCAAATATAGGGCATGCCATTTGAGAAACACTGAAAGCATGCAACATTTCACATTTCTGACATTCAATTTTTATTTCTGACCATGGGTTTTAAAAATTTAGCCAATACTGTACAACTTTTGTATTTACACCTTTCATTTACTTGTAAAGGTAAAGGCTGTAAATGGGGTGTCAATATATAAGAAAACACCCTGTACTTGAACATTAACTTATTATGTTAAGGCCGAATTTGTAAGATTATCCACTTTTTGTCAATTTGCTTTTTAATAGGAATTAGTAATGTTACTTTACCAAACAAGTAACATAATGTAACAAGTTATTCAAGTACAAACGAGTGGATTGTTGCGGAACTTATGGGTGGACTTCTGCGGGACGAGCGTAGCGAGTTCCGCAGCCATCTATTCACCAATATGTTGTTCAAGTACGATACTAACCTAACTCACTCAAATGTCAGTTATTCTTATTAGTTTTAAAACTACACATTTCAGGTGAATGTCTTATTTGAAAAGTTCAACAGTATATTGGTAAATAGATGGCTGCGGAACTCGCTACGCTCGTCCCGCAGAGGTCCATCCATAAGTTCCCCAATAATCCACTTATTTGTACTTGAACAATAACTTATTATATAAAATCAACATTTGTAAGATTATTCACTTTTTGTCAATTTGCCTTTCATCAGGAATTAGTAATGTTACTTTACCAAACTAGGAACATAATGTGACAGGGTATTCAAGTAAAAACGAGTGGATTGTTGCGGAACTTATGGGTGGATCAGCCATCTATTCATCAATATGTTGTTTAAGTACAATACTAACCTGACTCTTCATTAGTTTAAAAACTACACGTTTCAGGTGAGTGTCTTATTTGAACAGTTTAACAGTATATTGGTGAGTAGATGGCTGCGGAACTCGCTGCGCTCGTCCCGCAGAGGTCCACCCATAAGTTCCGCAACAATCCACTTATTTGTACTTGAACAATAACGTTCATCTATCGGAACACAAAAGATATGGACATTTCTACAGTCAAACTTTTGTATGATTCACTAGCAAGGACAAAGCTAGAATATGCATCAGTTGTATGGGACCCATGTTATCAGAGGTCAATCCATGCAATGGAAAATTGTCTAATTTTTTTTTTTAAAAAGATTACATTTTAAGAGATTCGGGGTTTACCCAGTTGATGTACCATATGATGTGTTGTGTTTATCCAACATGGTTACAGTAGGTTAGATGTAAAAAGAAGATATTTTAACGTAATGTTTTTGTATAAACTTCTTCATTATCATGTGAAAGATGAATATCTGTTGAGCCTGATAAATATGAAAGTACCAGATTTCAGAACTAGACAGTCACAGAAATTGACTTATGATACACCAAGAATAAATAGGAAGATGTAGAAAATATTGAATAAATAAATACAGATTTCTTCATGTCTGTATTAAGTTTGGAATTAAGGGAAAATGAGCCAAAACACTAATACTTCACGATTCAAAATCTTGTAAATAACCTTATCCATCCTCACAATACAAAATAACCCAAACTGAATGATTTCAAAGACAAAAAACCTCCAAATTCAATAAATAACCTACCTCTTCGTATTTTTTATCGGCCTCTTCGGCAATTTGTTTGGCCTGGGCTAGTTGCTGTTCCAGAATCGACACCCGATCGTCCTCCATATTCGTCCGGTTTTCCAAAGCTTTGCGTATCCTTTATTTTGCGAAAAAAAAGGGGAGCAAGCAAGAGGTTAGATTACAGAAAAAACAAAACAGGGGAGTTAGTCGATAGGGATTCAACGTATGTAATTTGATTCAAGAATTTTATTGATTTGCCCCTATACAAAAGTTAGTGTGGATTTTAAGCACACACACACTACATTTTTTTTGTGTATAGTTTTAAAATGGTCATGGAATAAAAATACCTAATAGTCAAGGAATTTACTTGACTATAAATAGAACAATTACAATCAATTAGTATTTGAAGCAGGCTCCCAAAAAAACATCATGTAATATGAATTTAAAGAATCTATTAAGGCTTGGTATTTATAGATAAAGGCATAATAATTAACAAATAATTATTAGGTAATGATTTTCGAATTGTTCTTACTCACACTGTAATCACGTTTTCAGAATTTGATAAACTTGAAGCATAATTTTCAATGATGATTAAGTATTGCTCCATGGTTGGAAAAAATATTTTTACTTAATTTTCATTAATTTATTTACAACAGTAACATTTTTCGCTACACTGTAGCTTCATCAGACTACCTAAAACTATATGGTGGGTCACTTTTTATATGTTAACTCAACAAACAGTACACAATTTTACAAAAATTATTAATTTCCGATGATTCCAGATAATTAAGTTTGAGTCCTTTATTTTCTGTATGTAAAATTTTTATGTTATCATTAAATGTATGGTTGATTTCAATAAGGTGATTAGAATAATTAGAATCAGTTTAGCGTTTTATATAAGAATTATGGTGTTCTGAAATTCTCGTTTCAACAATTTGTATATTAATAATTTCTAAGTATGTTTGTAAAATTGTGTACCTGTTAGTTGAGTTAACATATAAAAAGTGACCCATCATATAGTTTTAGGTAGTCTGATGAAGCTACAGTGTAGCGAAAAATGTTACTGTTGTAAATAAATTAGTGAAAATTAAGTAAAACTACTTTTTCCAATCATGGATAAATTCAATTTTCACCAAGTATCAGCTCAATCAATTCAATGATTATTACTTCACAAAATTAGAAGTTTTGATATTATTGAAGCTAGACCCCCCTAAATTGTGGACCATTTCAAAACCAACTCTGACTTTTTTACTTTTGAACCACAAACCTTTCGCTTTCATCTGCTGCCTGTGAAGCTTCGGCCAATTTAGCTGTGGCAGTGGCGAGACGTTCTTCGGAACGTTCCAAATCTTCTTCCAAAAGTTGGATACGACGGTTGAGGGCGGCCACTTCGGATTCAGCCTGCAAACAAAGAGAAGACGCGTGAGAAAATTGCTAGCTAAACAACAAAAGCGGTTACACATCATAGATTACGTAATAGGGCTTTTATTATTATTACTAGAGTTCAATTGATAGTCATTAATTTTGGGAGGTGGGTACCTAGTCTATTGAACAAATACAGAGTGAAATGCATTCACTGAAACAGGAAGGAAGTATGGTAAATAAACTTTATTTACGTATAATGGATTTTTCTATGTAGGTAAAACAAAATTTTCTTCAGCTGCACCCAAATACAACATTTTTGTTTAATTATAAAAAAATTCCTTTTAGGACTAAAATAATTAAAGTTCAATTATATTTCAGAGAATTTCAGTCTTTGGTTTAAAATCGCCTTGTTAAACAATCTCAGTATGTGGGCTTGCCTATGTAACCTCGGCCTTTGCATAATCAAACGTTAATTTTATGCCTAACGGTTTGCCAAGTTATCACATCGAGTTATTTTTTTGTGAAATCTTTGACCATAGGAAATTGTTTATTAATTAGATGCAAGATGCAAGAAGTGGTACTAAAACAGGAAAAAATAGGGCAAACTTTTGTTTTTGGAACAAGTGGCTTTTATAGTCTAGCTTTGGTTCAAAAAATACAGGCAAATAATTATTGGAATTCTTCAAAGAGTAAATCACTTTTATGTAGTTTGAAATGCTACAAAAATACATCAAAATACACCAAACTATCGACTACACTTTCAGGTGAATAAGTGATGAAATTGTGTGTAAATGTAGGTACTTTGTTCTCAAGTTTTCCATTTGAAACTCGAATAATTTGATTTTTGGGTACGTGAATCTCTTTCAATGCTCAAATACTCAAAATATCTCTCAGTTCTTAGCTTTTGAGTAAAATTGAATAAATCTTGAGTGATAAGTTTTGGAGAAAACATGTAATTTCAGAGTAGGTATTTTAAATCATTATGAATTTCAAATTTTTCACACGAAAATCAACTTGAAGTAGGTAGTAATTTTAGAGAATCACAATTCCCTGGTTTTCAGCACAATTGATTTGAATTTTTCTTATTTTTTGCCTCACATTTTCTCAATACTTAGATACTTTCAACTTCAAATCTTTTCTCTTAGTAGTTTTTGAGAAAAAAAATCCAATACAAATCATCAAATGATACTTCTGAGAAAAATCATTCTAATTTGAACAAAAAATTAAGTATAACTTTCTCATTTAAAGTTCAAATGATTTAATATTTTAATGTTTTCTTCTAAGGTCTTTTACACATAATAGTTGTTTAAAATTACAGATTTTCTCTTGTAGTCTTGTAGGTAGTAGTTTTTGGAAAGAAAATTTATATCTAGAATAAATAATGAACAATCTTAAGACAGAGCAAATCTGGGAGAGGAAGAAATATTAATCTCGGTATTAATTTTCTTTCAACTTTTATCTATTCCAGGCTCTCGAATCCTTGTTTTCTTTTTAACAAAAACTAGCGGAAATCATTGTACATTTTTTTGTGAATCACATAGTAATTAATCAGAAATACATGGAAATAACTTGGGAATCCCTGACAATAACCTGGGAATCGCTAGGAATCTCCTAGGACTCCATGGGAATCACATAGGAATCCATTGGCAATCGCTGAGAATCATGTGGTAATCGCTGGGAATATCATCTCATTCTAATCCAGAAATCGCATATCATACATTTTAAAGCCGAGGATACAGCGTACCAGTCAATTGTGTATTTGTATTTGCCTTCCAAAGTTTTAAGCAACATTGAGTGCTAGACAATTTGAAATGAATTTGATATCCCAACAAATTTTCCAATAACTGAACCTGAGGCTACGAAAAGTTTAGAACTTGAAGAAGAAGAAGAAGAAGATGAAGATTAGGTCTGTTCTCACAGAAATCACAAACCAGTCAGAGCGTTTTTGATTGGTGCAAATCGCCAACAACCAGTTTTCTGACTATTTTCAACCAATGAAATTTGCTGACTTGTGATTTCTGTGAGAATATACCTAAAGCATGACAATGTTGTAGATCATAAAAATGGAAACATGAATCTTGAAACCTCTCTCGAATCCGACTTGCCAAAAGAAGACACAGAATTTCTTTTAACATCAGGGGTTAGCAACTCTGATTCGCTACAATTAAGAGATTATTCAGGGGTCCACTGTAATCAAAAATAAGTTTGTCGAGTGAAATCCTAACTGAAAATGTCTGTGATTCAGATGAACATTCTAGTGAAATCAAAGAAATATCCATTATTTTAGATCCAATGGTATCTAGAGCTCAACAATTATTTACAACAAAATCCGTGTGGGTGTGGAAGAGTTGCAAATACAGAAATTTCCAATTTTTCAGTGGAAACATCCCTTTATAAGAAAAAAGAATGTTTATTTAGAACCACATACGTAATGTTGACATTTCTGACTTTTCAAAAGTTTGAAAGTGACATTTTTTTGAATTTTACTTTCTTCCCGGGTGGAAAGTGCTCACTTTCCACCTAGGTGGAAAGTAAGCCCTCATTTCCTGAAATATTGAAGACAAGTCCTGCATATCAAACGTTTTTTTAGATAAGTCAGAACTTGTCAACAAAAGGACCCCGCACACTTCTTATGGGATTTCTGACTGCGGTCAAATTTAACTAAATTTTAATATGTTATAGATCTCACCTTTCTGATCAATAACTTCCATGGACACAACTTAATCCAATGACTAGTTTTGAGATACAGGTAGTTTAATGTCCAAGAAATGCACACATTTTATATGCATTTATATCTACCTGTCACTTGAGCGTGAGAATACCTGTCCATTCTGGTATTATTAGGTGACAGGTAGATGTAAATGCATATAAAATGTGTGCATTTCTTGGACATTAAACTACCTGTATCTCAAAAACTAGTCATAGGATTAAGTTGTGTCCATGGAAGTTATTGATCAGAAAGGTGAGATCTATCGGGTCTTCAAAAAAAAAACCAATCAAAGATTGCTTTGATTACGAAAACGTATGTCGCATTACTGTTTCTTTATTGGTCAGGATTTTTGACATAACATTTTGACATTAAATTTCATTGACAAAATTAAAGACAAATATTGCTAAGACATACGTTTGAAAAACCATAGCAATCTTTGATTGGTTTTTTTTTTGAAGACCCGATATAACAGATTAAAATTTAGTTAAATTTGACCGCGGTCAGAAATCCCATAAGAAGTGTGCGGGGTCTTTTCTTAATTGTTATTTAGTATTTAGTCAAAAATTGTGATGGTTGTAAATAAAATAGTAGGACGTTTCATTCCTGGCTCGAGATTATGGGAATAGATGAGACTCATTGATCAGTGATTGTCAAATATATGGCAATCATTGTGCATTAGTAAGCATAGTGGTATATTGCAGAGAGTGTATACCTGGTCTTTAGGAAGTACAAGCATACTATTGTTGAAGGTCCCTATGATACTCGACAAACTTACAACATCCCTCTGCCAATTCCAAGAACAAGCCAAATAAGAAAATCATTTATTTACAATGCCAAGAAAATGTTTAATCATCTTCCTGTTGATATAAGACGTATCCAGTATGCTCCTAAATTTAAAGCGGAGACTAAGCGTTTACTTGTGCGGAAGGCTTATTATACTATCACTGAGTACTTTGAGGATCGGTTGTGAACTAATTAGTTATAAGTTGATATTCTTGACGTTTTAACATACCTTGTGCAGGTTTTATTAATTTTTAATTTTTGATAATTTTTAATTTTTATTTTTGTTACAGTTAGTGCTAGATGTACGTATGTATGTATGTGTGTATGTATATTTATATATTGTTGATTTATGTACATAGGTACTTGAGTCTTATTTTATTATTGTATTACTGTGTTGTGTTAGTTTTATTATTGTAATTCTTAATTTTTAAATATTTTAGGGTAGCTTTGTCAATGAATACTGTATTTTGGACAATAAAGCATGTTTTGATTTGATTTTGACTCCTCAGGAAAATGGGTACTTTTAATCTTTTATTGAAAATTTTACTTTTTACTTGACAAGAGCAGAAAGTGCAATATTTCACATGAAATCACTGTGATAAGTAGTTTGTTACCTTTTTTCAGTATTTGCTTATTCACTTAACTAGTGCAGAAAATTTCTTTTTCTTGAGTAGTAGGTAGGTACTACTAAACAAGGGGTTGGACCCAAGGCTCTAGTCACACCATATGTAAGTGTACAAAAGATATCTTAATGCAAAAGATATCCACAGAATTTCCCTTGAATATCCCAGATTACCCAGGATCCTCTTGAAAAATTCTCAAATCTCTCAAGATTTTGCTAGACCTCCGTAATTTTTCAGGTATTTTATAGAATATCAGCACAAGTGCACAGTTAGAACACAACTCCCCATTTTCTCTTGATCTATTACTATTACGTAGTTAACCCCTCAAAAAAACATACAAAAAAATCACCCTGGAAGAGAAACATGAAAAATGAATCAAATTTAGCAGCCTATGAAAGCTCTGGAATAAAAGAATAATCAAAATTCAAAAACTTAGGGTCAAAAAAGTGTAGGATTAAAATTCTGAATTGTCTCAAGGTAAAAATACAGAATTTCAGAGTAAAAATAGCAATTTCTGACAATCTCAAGATCAAAATGGAGATTGGATCCAATATTTGGAAAAATCCTTGGAAAAATCTCAAAAGAAAAGCAACAAATTATGAACCGAGGGGGCGACTACTCCCGAAAAATATGTACATGTATTGCGGAAATCCTATGATTTCCAAATGATTTCTGCGATTTCGAAGAATTTTTCTAAAAATTTGCGATTTCGGAGGATTGCGAGGCGATTTCAGCGACTGCAGAGACTGCAGGGGGGATTGCGAACTAATTTTTGAGATTGTGAGGTGATTTTTGGGATTGCAAGGTGATTTATGGGGATTATAAATATGATTGCGGAACATAATTCATTCGATTTTTTTACTATCTTTTGAATTTTTTGATTTTAATTGCAGTTTCTCATTCATAAGTTTATAGATAGG